CTAATTTTGATTAAAGTTGTTTTCACAATAATTTTTTCAAAAGAATAAAAGGATTTTTTATATAAGTACGAGATGCAAATTACTTTATATTTAAAACTATTTTGCATATATACATTCAACACTACAAGTTGCATTATTTCTCTTAGTTGGAAACTATCAGAGATTTATTTTGATTATTTGTTAGATTTGACGGTTTGTAATAATTAAATTTAGTGTGTCAACTCTCAAAAATAGCATTAAAAAAATAGCACAGAAACTATAGACTACTTTTTTCTTGCTTCTTCTTTCACCGTGAGTTTAAACAAAATATATTAATCTGTTCCCTTTGAGTTAATATCTTTTTTATTTCTCTGAACATCAACAAAATCTTGTACACTTGTAGCGCATTTAGAAATCATACATTTAAAAACTTGATCTCTGTAGTTTTCAACGAAAAAATAAATCTTATGAATAATGTAGTTTCGCTTTTCGGTTTGTCNAACGGTCAATAACAAGTCATTCATAGTAGGAGAAAACATTTAAATAAACTGCTTTGCATATTCTTCTTCAGTCTGTATCCGATCATTTTCGAGTGAAAACGTCTTTTTTTCTCAATCAAAGTTACATAAGTCATTATTAGAAAAATAAAATTTGGTGATAATGAAGACAATAATTATTCTCTTAACAGTCGTTGTAATCACCACGACGCTGGAATTACGTGAGTATTATATAAACAATTACTATTAACACTTCTTGTGTCGCACTGAAGCCAGTTGTTTGCTACTTTCACTTTAATTAAATTCGTCGAAATTTGCATTAAAGAAAAAATCGAGAATCATCATAAAATCAAACGCGCGACTTTATTAGATTTGCAGCAAGCGACGTGTTGCTTTTCACTTGATTTTTCTTCGTCACTTTACAGCTAGCAATATTACACTTTGTCATAAGTCAGATCCAAAAGTATTAAAATGTCTTGGAGAAGCCACCGAAACTATGATGAAAATCGTAGCCAATGGTAAACAATGTTATAGTGTGATAACTGTCTCTTACGAAAAACCTGAAAAAACTACGTGTATTTATATTTAGGTCTGAAGGGCTTNGATATTAAGCCTATTGACCCGCTAAGGGTCGAGAAACCGATCACCGGAATGTCTCAATGGCTAAAACTAGAATCTCGCAATGTTGTTTTATATGGGTCTGCAAACCTAAAAGTCTTGGACTTTCAGTACGTAACTTTTTTAATGTTTTGCAATGTTATGATCAAGTCGATATTTATTATAATTATGAAATCAAGTAGTGCACACATACATNTAAGAATATGTATATTGATCAAAAGTAAAGAAAGGAAAAATATTTATATAATGAAAAAATATGTAAGAGAAATGTAATTAAAACTCTAATTTAGATATTCTATTTTGTCGAAAAGAAATGATCGAACAAGTCAATACACAATATAAATCATTAAAAATATACAATTATTAAAGAGAAACAGATAAAAATATGTCTATATAATTTATATAATAATAATTCATTAATGTTTTAGAGTGGACTGGGATAAACTTATATTTAAAATAAAATGTACCATTCCCCGGGCAAAGTTAGTTTCCGATTATACTCTCGAAGGAAGGATATTGGTGCTGCCAATCCAAGGAAAGGGCAAAAGCAATATATTAATAGGTGAATATATTATGATGTGTGTTTTATTATTTATTATATTACATTCATGACGTATATAGCACTATAAGGAAGCAAAAATATTGTATCGCAAATATGACGTTCGATGACGGTCGAGTTTATTACCTCGATATTTGTCATTTTAAGAAATATTGCGTTATGATTGTGTACGCATACACACACATACATACATACATAATAACAGTATAATATTTNCAATACTCTAAATAATCGATTTTNTNATGAAACTTTTGCAGATGATGGAATAGGATACNNTNAAATATCCTTAGAGAAATATGAAAAAAATGGAGAAATTTTTGCAAAAANCACAAATGTTACATATAAAGTACATTCTGAAAAAGTATTGTTTCACTTCGATAATTTCTTCAATGGAAATNCCTATTTGGGTATTCTAATTGCGATATTTTCATGTTGTAAAAAGTATTAGTATATATTAAGTATATTTTATTTTGTAATTATATAAAATACACAATGTTTTGGTTTTTTAATTACAGGTAAGCAAATAAATGAAGTTCTAAACAAGAATTCTAAACTCTTGTTCGAAGAANTTAAACCACCATTCGAATTAGCTATGAAAGAAGTAGTGCAAGACGTGACTAATAAATTGTTTAACTTTATACCATTCAACCAACTCATACTTGAATAGAGAGAGAGAAATATCGCATTTTTTAAATATATTTTTTATATTTTATAATCATATATATGTTAAAACGTATGTTATGTGTATATATATAAATAAACAGTATATACAAATAAATACATTGTTAATCAACTTGATCAATAAAAATCGCAAAGTGTAAACGCCTCTTTATTTTTATATTTAATTATTCTAATTGTATAATTTTTGAAAAAAACAATAGAAATTCACCGAGTCATCGGTGATATAATGGACAAATATCCAGAAATAAAGCAGTTTCGAGTGTTTTTTTTAGTTGTCGTTAAAGTTTTNGTTAAGGCTCAGTGTGTTTTATATCGCGTCCGAGTATCCACATTCTTGAGACAAGTATACGTAAGAAGATGTAAAAATGGATCGGATAATAAAGCGTGTATAAAACAAGTAAACCGTAAAACAAGTAAAAGTAATAGACTCTGTATTCAATCGCGTGTGGTATTTTCTCGTGCTTTTTTGAAATTATCATTCAGAAGCGTCGTAATGTTCTTCAAAGTGAGTAATTTTTATAATTCTGTTTGAAGTTACGTAATGATATAATTGTGTGCATTTATATTTCTACGTACAGAAATTGCGACAGTTTCATTCATTTGAATTTGTTTTGTGACNATTAACGATTATTAATATGACATAAATGACTAGTTCTGATAAGAATTAACGAAATTTTCAATTATGTTGTTTAGAAGAATGGACATTTTTTTTTTAAAGAAGGTTAAGAAGATCTTCTATATTATCGACTGCGTTTATTGATCGATCGAGGTTCACGACGTCGATTTCTTTCTCACCGACATTCTGTTTTTGTACGTATAGCAAACAATGCTGCAATATCAATCGGGAAACTATCGTCTCGTGACCAACGAGTGCCGTAATTTAACTAACGAGTGAGCTATATATCATATTGTTTTTTTTTTTTTTTTTTTGAGATATTGGAAATGTAATTTCGCCAGTGATCGTTCAAATCTGTGCAACGATTTCTCGTTCTCTCTCCGTTCTCTTCTTCCTCGCACTAGGTAATTCAACTCGCTCTATACTTTTGTAAAATTGAGCAATTCACATGCCGAATCGGTAATGAACTCATCTGATTTTACATCTGGCGGTGTTTCTGAAGCAACGCGCGTTCAACTTTTTCTCTCATCTTTCTCTTATTCTCTTCGTTCTGCAGTTTTTCGTGCACCACGGGTGGTGCTAACCAGGAGGAACATCAAGCGCTCCATGAAACACTAACAAAATAAGATATATAAGAGAGAAAAAATATACAATTATTTTTAATCGATATATTTGAACAAATAATTTATATTTAGTAAAAATTTTTTTTAAACTACCGTACTTTCTATTCAAAATTTTACTATACGCGGTCAAGTGGGATTTTTTCACATGTGAATTGCTCAATTCTATTTTACACAGTATTAATTTTTTATATTATTGAAAATTAATCAAATTTATAGTGTTAAATATTTATGCGCCGTGGTATCGCGCGATCAATAAATTATTCGTTCACATATCGCAAAGCAACAAAGAAGCGTGAAAATAACTATTGCGCCTTGTTATTGTCGCGTAAAATTGTATATTTAGTAGTGTGGAAACGATGACGATTTTGCAACGCGTCATCGCGGAAGGTCGGTAATAAACGATTGTGTCTGCCACTCTAGGCCGCTAAAACGAAGGTGTTTTCCATTTGTACGTTGGCGTGCAAGGCTGTGAATTACTTCTCCATTCGTTCATTTCGATCCGACCTCTTGCAAGGACGTCCGATCGGCGCGTCCCAAAAATGGAATCGCGACGCGCGTTAGAACAAGAGAAGTCAAAAATAGTAACGTTCGGGATTGTAGTTCTATCTGACATTGTTAGAATTTTATTGATGAAGAACACAACCGGTTTATATAGACAATCTTTCTCTTTTATTTGCGTTTCGAAATATATCAATTCGCGGATGTGCGAAACAATGTAAAGAAAAAAAAATTAAAATTGACAGTGTCACGTAAAATCGTAATTCTAAATTTTACGTAGAATTTTCTCTATTTTTCGCATTTGTTTGAGCGATTCTCCGGCCCAAAAAAAATCGTGTTTTTCGCTTTGCACTTACATTCACGCTTCTATCGATACGCGTGATTGGAATGAAGACAGTCGGTGCGCAACGACGATGTTAAACGTCGCGCATTCGGAGAATCAGGTTTGTCGTTTTAATTAATAGTTATCAGCCGTTCTGGCCACTGAACTCCTCCAGACACGTTTCGGTATAACGCGTCGATGCATTTTGAGCCCTATTATGGCAACGGTGCACTTTTGAGTTTCCACACTAAAGATTTGCTATCGCGCTCGTCAAGATTTCGAACGCAGACGCCGCAACTATATATACACAGTTTGTCCGGAAAGTTCCCGGACT